TTATTCCAGTGATGATTTGTTTGATGCAGTTTGAAGTTTGTGTTTTATGACACAGCTCAGAATCACTGACTTGTTTTATCCTTCGTCCGGGGATGGGGCTCTTTCTGGACATCTACATTTTCACAGCTTTACCCTACACATCACTTAGTCCTAGTATTTTGCAGCCATCCCTGTATTTTTTTTGTTTTTTGCAAACTGCACAGCTTACTTTAACCTTTAAATACAGAAAACTAACCTTGCCCATATTATCATATTATTTATATTCTGTGGCGCTGTGACTTCATGGCCCAGCAGGTAAAGCATCTTTTGGGCAGCACTCTGACTGACACTTCATTTGCTCACTTTTTCCCACAACATGTGATTAGACAGCCACGGGGCAAAACACAGAAAATTGCCTCGTTTTGAAGAGCGCCACACAAAGCCGTGGCTAAGACTGATCTCACGCCGTAAAATGAGTTTTTCCTTCACTACTTCCATCTTTGGAAGTTGACATCAAATACACTGTACTGGCAGCAGTGCCTCATTGCTCTGACAGCGCGGCAGTGACAAAGACACAGCCGATAAACATCCTCCCCTACGTGTCACCTCTTGACAGGGAGAGAGAGAAGAAAAAAAAAAAGCTCAGGAGGACAAATTTGGCATCGTGTTCAGCGGTTAGAGATCCACTGTCTTAAGGAGCAGTACACCTAAAGATCAAAGCTGCACAGAAATACACGGAGCAGCTGACGCCAACACAGCAAATGAATGGATAAAAATATACAAGCACGGAGAGAGAAGTACTCGGTAGCACAAAGAAAATATGATAGATTACATAGATTACGTTACTTCTACTAAATACCTGTGAGACAAGAGGTACTTGCTTTAACCATTGTCTAAGAAGGGATACTGAGCTGGTAGATAAGAGGCAAAAAAAAATAAAAGAAAAAGACAGACGTGCATTATTTCTCCTGTCACATTATCATGAAAAAAGGCTGCTACTCACTTGCGTCCCACAGCGCTCCCATTCCTGTGCATGCAGACCACCTCCCTGGTCTGGTAGCCCACCTGGATGTCCCAGAAGGGACTCTCTTGCCGGTTAAGGCGGTTCCGGGTCCGTTTCTTCTGGATAAGCTCCCTGGTCTCGGGATCTTTGACTCCTGCTCGCTCCCTGAGCCCCTGACCTTTACCCTTCCTGCGTTTGACTTGGCGTGTTGTCCGAGTCTGCGGGAGGGCGCAGGGGCTCCACGGTCCAACCCTGAGACTGTACATGCCCTCCGGACCTGTGCAAGGCCCGGGTTTACAAGACTGGAACTCAGTTAGGTTGGGACAGATAGAACCTCCAAAAAGCGGCGGAACCAAGACACTGCGTACTCTGTTCCTGAGGCCTGTTCCACACGTTTTGGAGCAGGATGTCCATGGCGAATACTCGGAAACCACACAATCCTGAGGGCAAGGGATCAAACAGGCCTGCTCCAGGCGAGGCTTGGGCTCAAAGTACTCACAGATGGCATCCTCTGCTGGAGACCCGTCTGACTTGAGTATGCAGCCTACCTCCCGCGTCTGAATGCCCTCTTCGCCTCCACTGCATGTGAACAGCCGCGGAGCCCCAAAGGTCCTTGCAGATACTGGCACGCACTCATTCCAGGCACCCAGTTTCCAGTCATAAAGGTCCTTGTGCCAGTCACACACACGGAAACAGTTCCTCTGGTTGGAGGGACGCTGGACCTGGTCACAGTTGGTGTGAAGCGTCGTCCAGCCGTCCACATGGGCACACCAGACTGCCCGGCTTTGGCTGCCACCCGGTCCACAGTCGCTGCCCATGCATCTTCCCCACGGACCTGAGGAACAAATGAGAGCAGGCTCACATTACAAAGAGGAAACATGTAAAACAACAAATCTGAAGAGAGACAGTGTGCTGCGCTGAAATAAACCCACAATCAAGACACTGCTCACAAAAAAGTAAGACCTCCTGACTGGGATCTGACTGTTACCTGATCGGTGGAATGATGCTTCTCAGATTCAGAATGTCCAGAAATTGCACTGAGTTTGGTCACATTACGCATCAGGTTATTAAAAACACATGTCAAACACCAGCGCTCAATGAAGCCATATGAAATGTACTTCAAAGCTTATAATACTAAAGCAAGACTGAAACACCTTATTTTGGCCTGTTGTCAACTGAGAAAAAAGCATGTAATGCATCTTCAAGGGTGACACGGAGAATTCACACACTCCTCTAATGCAGTCCTTGATGTAGAACGTGTTGAAAAGCTGTTGGCAAGCCACAACATACGATGCGTGAGCGCAGGAAATTTGCCATATTGAATAAAGCGAACGTGTCACCTTGCTTTTGTGCTACACTTGGGTCAGACACAACACTTCTTAGTGCACGGTAAAAACCTGGGTGAGTGCTGTGGGGGCGGGGAGGCACGATGAGGCAATACAAACACAACGTGCAACAGTGGAGATTATAGGTGATCAAAGGGAAGTGTCTGAAAGCCAATTTACAGGGGCTGTGAGTTATCTGTGGCATTTATCAAGCTCTATTGGCAACTGGCAGAAACTGCCACAAACATCAATAAAACTTATTTCTCTGTACACAAGTCTCTGGCACAGGCTTCTCTTATCCCCACTTACTAACTGCAGCTGAGATTCAACAAACAGTCTGGGAAGAGGAGTGAAGAAGAGGTTGCCATGTATTTGTTTTAATAAGAAAACACACTATCAATACTTGACTGGAGCGTGCCTCGCTTTCTAACCTTTAAGGCTGAAGATGCTTCTTTTTGTCAACAAAAAGGACAAAGACCAGAACAATGACTCGATCCTGCTATCAAATACATACTTTTCTGCGTAGCTAAAGCCCGACGGTGCTCATTCCTCTGCAGCACAAACCTCCGTTGTTGTCAGGAAGCGGTCAGAACACATCAGCGAGCGTAAATATCCACCAGCGCTCCTAATGTGCTGATTAATCCGCTGCTGAAAACCGTCGCCAGTAAATTCACGATTTATTTCTGCTCCAGAGATGTTTAATAAACAACACGGCGTCCAGCACGGAACTATATGTTTGTGACCCGTTTTTGAAGAATCACGTATTCATTAGGAATCAGTGGGTTGTTGAGGAAAAGTCAAAGTATTGAGAAATTAACACATTCTTGGCAACAGGAGAAGTACAGAATAATAGCACACTTGTTCTGGTTTCCCCGGTCGTCCTCAGATCTTGACCTCTGTGCAGATAGACGCTTGTTATGTTTCGTTTAGAACTTAAATTCCCTCTCTGGTCGTAGACGAAACCCCTAAAAACTCATCCCTGTGACAAAATTACATATTTAGGAGTGTTTTCTATGGAACTAATCCCCTGGTCTAAACCCTTTCTGGAATATATAACATTTCTAGCTTCTTTAATCTGTTTAAGTGACGGCATTTTTATGTTAATGTTCCTCCATCCAGACGTGCCCACCGTAGAGCCGCGATGCTTCTCACACATCAGTTGATGTAAAACGCATAATAACGCAGCAATAATCAAAGGATGAATTCTTTTATGTTCTAATAACTCACAGCTTAGGTTCTTTAGGATTTCTGACACAACAACGTAACGACTACTTCACCAACAGTGAAATATTAATTCTTACATCTGTAATAGAGCTCAAGACCCAACCTGAGGATGGCCGGTATGAAACAACAGATCCAACTACAGCTGATGAAGAGCGGCTCTGTGTGTAATTTAGAAAAAAACCAGACACTATTTTTTGAAGCCATCCTCTTGTGCGACATGTGAATGCGTTCAGCTCTTCCTCTTTGGAGACACTCATATGCATCCTGCTGCAGTCTGTTCTTAATAAACCCGAAGGAAAGACGCCTACAAGCAGCTGGAAGGAACAACCTGAGCTCCTGTCAAAGCCAAAACATCGATTACTGTTGAGTCTCTTTAATCTGTCCTCATCTCAGCACAGTTTTATTGGACGGATATCTCAGTTTGTAATAGATATGAAACCGTAGGGCAAAGGGTGAAAGGTGCTTCATGATGTCGGCAGCGAACTGTGTTTCTGCTCTCTCTCTGGTTCTGGGTCACTATTGGTGCTGAAATGTGGCAAAAAGCTTTTAATAAATCACTTTGCATAACTTGAACTGAACGTGACCACATGCAGGTCAGACACAGAGATGTTTACAGGTTCAGATGTCGTCAGATTGTGTGTCTGAAAGCAGCTTAGATGTGACTCGACACCATCCTTGCATCCTTTAAAATGTGTGGCCATCTTAAGCACCTCTCTTGGCTCGAGCACACCAGCTCACCTTCGACTGTAGCTTCACTGGAAAGAGTCTAGAAAGCTCAAAATCCAACACCTCTGTGGCTTACTTGAACAAAACATGTTGCTAAACACCATAAATAGAAAAACAAAGTTATTACAAATGAGATTTTCGCCACCAATTTTGTGGTTTGGCCTTTTCAGTAGTTGAACTTTCCTCGAAGGAAAACAATTTAAAAAAAACCCTGCAAGTCATTTTGTGTTTCTCAAAGAAAATTTGAGCTGACTCCCTGAAAACCGTCTTAACCCGGTCAGGCCCGACTCAGCCTCGACTCAAAGCCATTTGAAAAACACTAATTAACACGGGGTGCCTGTGCTCTGACTGCGCTATCCAAAGGCTATTGATACTACAAGGGAGAAGAAATCAAACTAATTGGGAAGCTTCACATTTCAACTCGCATTAACCTCTTAGCTAATTGATTGTATTAGCATGTGGCCCGCGGCGGACTGGATCCTTAGTGGTAAATGGGCAGCAAGAGGAAGGGCGGCCCTTCTTGACCCACGTCCATGTTGAAATAAAAATCATGCCTGGCAGACAATCAGGAGCGCGTTTCCCGCAATGACTTCCTCTGTTGAGTCTTGTCAGTGATCTCATCTGCTGATACGTCTAAAAGGATCCATCTCCGGCGAATGCAACGCTGCATTCACGGGCTCACCCCTCAGTGTTTCAGCACACTAGATCAATGTCTGGTCATCGAGTGATCTCTTTGCCTGCTGGGCATCTACAGCTCCAGATCACACGGTGCTACTATACAGTCACTGATGTGTAGAAACTGTGGATTAATCACCATATTCAGAGGGTGAAAATGCATTTAGCATTCCCCAGACAAATCCCTTAAGGTGTTCGTCTCCGTCCATAAAAACTGTGTGATGTTTATTTTTAATCCAATAATAGAAAAAAAAAAAATGTGACTTGGAAGTTTTGCCTCTACAATACAAACTGATAAAGACACAGAGCGTTATCTCGAGAGCTGGTATCGAGTTTTCAGGCAGAGAAAGAAAATGCAGTCGAGAAAACGCTCATCCAAAAACCCCAAATGCAGCAGAGTCTGACAGGTTCTCAGATACCGAAATAAAACACCTCCCACCCAAATCTAATCCATCCCAGACAGAAGTTATCTCCTCCAAGACTATTGTCTGGCACAGTCCCTCAATACTCCTCCTGCTCAGGAGTGTGGACTCAAAGAGGTTCTCAGTAAATACAGGTCAAAATGTTTGGCGTTTTCCAACCTGCCTGATCCAAGAAAGCACAAAAGGAGTCTTGTCTGATGCGGCATCATTTCTTCTTGTGCATCTTATTTAGTTTCTCAATAAAAAGCTGTGGATACACCATGCAGCATGTTACAGACTTCAGTTTGCATGTTGGGCCCCACAACACTGAAACTTGGCCTTTTTCTCCCCAAATGTAAATCAATGTGAAGCCCCGGCAGCCTACAGCTAACTTTTTAATATTGCATGAAGTCTGACAGCACCATTTGACATTCCGGAAACAAACCGTGTTACACCTCCATTAATCAGACAACCAGCAGAAGGCATGTGAAGAATTACCCGTTGCTGGCCCTCGACTGCCCATCATGTGTCAGAAAAGGAAATAAAATTAAGATAATGAGTAACCCTCCGACGTGGAAATCAGAAGTGTGATGTTTTTAAACCAGTTAACCTGGATGACGATCCGGTTCTTTCACATTCGCCGAGCCAATAATTCCACTGTTTTCATGTTTATGCTGTTTGGCTGCAAAATCAAGTCGAGAAGAAATAGGAACAAACAGAAACCTATATTTGGCACATTTACATCTTGGTGAAAGTTGCTTGCATTGATTACGTACATAGAGCTCAGAGCCGTGCAATCTAAATGTAAATGTAGTTTTGTCAGAGAGAACGTCCTTTGTGTGTCCGATCATTATTATTATTATTATTATTATTATAGCTGATAGTGAATTTTGCAGAAACGTCAGATTTCATGTAAAACAGGCAGCACACTCAAAGGTGTGTGTGACTCAATCAAAATGCTGCTATTCAGCCAAACAAAGGCTGTATAGAGAGAGAGAAACATAAAGGTGTGCTGTGTATGTAAATTAGATTTCGTACAGTTTCACGAGGGCCAAAACTGACACCAGTGATTAGAGACGTCGAGCCGATTTTGGTGATGCAGAAAATGTGGGTGGCAAAATTTATGTTGAACAAACTCCAACACAAAACTTGGATTAAAAAGAAGTTTTTTGACTTAATCCATCGTTTTCTGGGACAATAATATAAAACAATACCACTGGTGAATGCCTACTGGTGGATCTGTTATTCAGCCGGGTCGATAATCGGTCAACTCCGTGGGTATACGACATGTTTTAAAGAATATACGGTTTGTATTCTGTCTGTGTCCAACAATAACCTGCTGGGATTGGCTCCAGCCCCCATGCCATCCTGGATGAGCACAAGATAAGCAGATACAGAGATTAAAGTCCCTCTTGTTGATTAAAACCCCTAAAAACTCATCTGTGTGTATCAAATTTATATATTTAGATTTTTTTTTTCCTCTA